CAGCTCAGTGGCAGAGTACTTCTCCATCATGCTCAAGGACCTGGGTTAAATAACCAGTACAGAAACAGACAGACAATTTCTATTCTGAAGCTAACCTACCATGTGTGGTGTTAAAAGATTTGACAAGTCACTTAACTGGAAATTTAAATCCTAAAGACAGAAACTAACCTTCACCCCCAAACAAAAACGGAAACAGAATAAAGTGAATAACTTGAGGTTTGTAGCATATACTTTAAGCAAACACACGAACAAGAAAAAATGAGGACGAGTTACAGGGAGGTGCCCGAAGCAAAGCTGAGTGACGCCACTTTCGCGGGCCCTGGCAAATGTCTACATAGGGTGTAGTGGGCATTAGGAAATACTGCGCATGCGTCCGGATGCACCTGCTCCCTCCACGGTGGACACTTGAGCAGGGAGCCAGGGGAGGAGGCCACTTGTGTCATTCCAGCTTTCGAAGCTCCACATAGCACATGGTTGGATGATTCGGGGTATCTCGTATACAGGCTGGAGACAAGAGTCCCTTCGCTCTCCGACCCGCCCTCTGGCCCACCCTTTCTTCCCAGCCCTGGTCACCTCCTGCTGGCCTAGCATATGCCCAAAGGCCTGCTTTCTGTTCTGAGGGGAATGCAATTTCCATCTCTTAGCTGAAGTAATGTAGCAGGCAGGCCCAGCCTTTGGGAAGACAGGCCCCTCTCCCGCAGGTCTACACCTGCCATAACAGCGCAGGCGCCACGGGGCCTCGGCCTGGCTCTCCCTCTGCTCAGTCCCTGCTCACGTACACTCCCCACCCTGCGTGCGCGCCCTGCGCATGCCCAGGAAGCCCAACCCAAGTTATTTTCAATGGGGTTGGCTAGGAAAAAGTTTATCTCCTGCAGTAGACGGTAAATTCAGAGCTAGCACTTCCCCGCTGCCGTAGTAACTGCCCAGCGTGGTCCCCAGGAAGAGACCCCTGCGCTTCTTGCCAATCCTCTCTGCCATCCTTATTGTGGCCTTTGTCCTCACGCTTGTCATCGCACAATGATGGCTGCTCTACTTTCAAGTTTTTCATGTTCCTGGGAGGGTGCGGCAAGGGACAGGACGGAGGGAAATGGGGGGAAAGACTAGATGGGGGTGGGAGACTAGACCAGAGACTGGAGAGGTACTGGGGGTGGGTAGCTTAGAAGAGCGTGAGGGTAGAACGCATGAGCCTATGCTCAGTCCATAATACTAGCAACAGAGAACATGGGAGAGCGAACTGGGCTGCATGGTTATTCCCAATATCAATGTGAGTTTTATGGTCTGGTTTTATAGCTTGAAACTAGGAAAATGATTGAAAATATTGTAGATACAAATTAGCTAGGCACTCAGGAGGCTGAGACAGGTAGGGCTTTGACTCTGAGGCCAGCCTGGTCTACAAAGCAAGTTCAGGCCAGCCCGGGCTACATAGTGAGAATCTGTCTCAAAACAACAAAACAAAACAAACAAAACAACCCCAAACAACAACAACAAAACGCAAGCAAAGAATTCAGATAATTAGGTGAATAAGAGACATTTATAGCCATGTGTTATTTAAGTTTCTGAAATTTTCTCCAGTGATGTCAAGAATTTTTCTGGAGGACGGGCACAGGACCAAGGGCAATTTTACCTACCTACCTTCCTTTTTTTCCAAATTTTATTTATTTATTTTTATGTGTATGAGTGTATTGCTTGCATGTGCCTCTAAGTGCACCTGTGTTGTGCAATGCCTGTGGAGGTCAGAAGAGGGTGTCAGATCCTCTGGAGCCAGAGTCACACACGGTTGTTAGCTGCCATGTGGGTACTGGGAATCTCCAACCCCGGTCCTCTGTAAGAACAGTCAGCACCCCTAACCGCTGAACCATCTCTCCAGACCTGTTTATTAAAATTTTTAATTGATTTATTTTTATGTATATGATGGTTTTCCTTGCCTATATGTAAGTGCACCTGTTTCATGCAGTGCCTGTGGAGGTCAGAAGAGGGTTTCAGATCCCCTGGAACTGGTTTTGGATGGTGAGTAGCTGCCATATGAGTGCTGGGATCCAAACTCAGGTCCTCTGCAAGAGCAGCTAGTGCTGTTAATCACTAAGCCATCTCTTCCGCCTCTTTTTCTATTTTATTCTGAGACAGGGTCCCAAGCTGGCCTCAAATTTGCACTCCTCCTGCCTCAGCCCCAAAGTCCTGGGATTACAGATGTGCATGCCCGCCCTTCCAGCATTTTTGCCCTGCTTGGAAAGTTACATAAATTGGAATGAGTGCAGATGAACCCCAGAAAAGAGGTTTTGTGTGGAGCCTTTTTCTAAGAGGTTCTTTGTTTCCATCTGGCGGACAATGCTAGCGTTGCAATGTCAGCCACACTTAGGCATGGCTGTATGATAGGAGGTCAGTGGTGTATGCAAACAATCCAATAGCCAGGCTTCTGCCAAGGCCAGTTCAAATAGTAAGGCTGGAATAGGACCCAGGATAACAACAACAACAACAACAACAACAAAATCCCGGTGTGATGGAGCACCTTTCATCCCAGCACGGGGGAGCCTGAGGCTGTTCTGCAGACTATCTCTGCCCAACTTATCAAGTAGTTTCAGTCTGATTTTGATGCCTCATATTTATAACCTTTCTGTGTAGTTGGTTTGTTGTTAATTTTCTCAAGAGCCTGTTAAAAGCAGGGCATGGTGGCCTGAAATCCCAGCACAGGTTATATTGTAAATTCCAGGACAGTCTGGGTTGAGAGGCAAGATGACTCAGCAGGTAAAGTGCTTGTCATACAAACCTGATAATCGGAGTTTGATCCCCAGAACCCACATAAAGGTGATGGGTCATGCTTGTGGTCCCTCCCTGAGGAAGTGGAGGTGACTATTGGGATTTCAAGGCCAGCCTTAGCTACACGGTGAGTTCACCTTTAGGCCAGCCTGCACTATGAGACCGTATTTCAAAAATAAACAGAACTGGAGATATAGCTCAATGGTTAAGAGTACTTGCTGCTCTTGCAGAGGACATGGGTTTGGTTCCCAACACCTGCAATCAAGAGACTCAGAACCACCCATAACTCCAGGAAATCTGACACCCTCTTCTGGCCTCCATGAGCACCAGGTACATGCTTACTTAGTGTACATCCACACAAGCAGGCAAACACTCATACACATAAAACAAAAATTAAAAAATCTTTTAAAAACAAGCACACCAAAAACAATCAACTGACAAAAGCAGGATTAACATTTGGATTTACTGTCCTTAGGTCAACACAATAGTGTCTGGATTACTAGTTTTATGTAAGGCTTTCTGTCAGGGAGCATAACTTTGTTTTTTGCATTAGCATTTTAGCAAGATTCTTATGCATTTTCAGGTAAAAATAAAACCAGCTTGTCAGCCGGGTGTGGTGTGCCAAACTTTAATCCTGGTACTTGGCAGGCAGAGGCAGGTGGATCTCTGTGAGATCTAGGCCAGTGTGGTCTACGCTGAATAGTGAATTCTAGGCAGGTTGGGGCTTGGGAGACCCTATCCCCAAAACAAAACAAAACTGAAACAAGAACAAAAATAATATTCTTAAAACTTTAAATTTATTTTTGTTTTACTTTCAAACACCCTTGTTGTACAATGCCTATGGCAGTCAGAAGGAAGTGTCACATTGCCTGGAACTGGAGTTAGGGATGGTTGTTAGCTGCAATGTGGATGCTGGGAACTGAACCAGGAATTCTCTGTAAGATGAGCCAGTGCTCTTAACTGATGAACCGTCTCTCCAGCCCCCATTTGTGGTTTTTGAGACAGGAACTTGCTGTGAAGTCTTAAAATGAAATCCCCCTGCTTCCCTGTCTGAGGAAGGTAACGCTTTGCCCTAAAGCCTGTGCTCTCCTTGTGAGGAGGCACGCATCTTTCTCCACTCGTTCATAACATGGCTGTGCTTATTCTGGTTTTGAGCTCACCAAGATGCAAACCCAACTACCTCTGATTACAATTAATGTACAGGTTCTTCATGTCCTTATAACTTTACCCCTAAATATTTCATACTTTGATTTACTGAAAGCATTTATATTTTGTTGCCTGTATATACATACAACTGATTTGTTAATGTTGACCCTTGTATCCTGCCATCTTAATTTAGTTAATACCAACTTTGAAGAGTCCTAAAATTTTCCTATGCATGTGACCATGTCATCCATGAATTCTTTCCAATTTTTATACCTAGCCATACGGACTTGAACCTCAAATACAAGTCAGAATAGAAGTTGTGTTCTTGTACAGATCTTGAAAGTTTAATAGTCTATCATTAAATGTTACTGTAGCCTGGTATAGTGGTACACACCTTTAATCCCAGCACCTGGGAGGCAGAGGCAGGCAAAGTTTTATGAGTTTGAGGTCAGCTTGGTCTACATAGAGAGTTCTAGACCAGTCAGGGCTACACAGTGAGACCTCATCTCAAAAAGCTACTATAGCTATTTCATGAATCCCCCATCAGGCTAGAGTTCTCTTTCTTGTTTGCTGAAACTTTCATCAAACTTCACAAGATGCTCTTAACTACTAAAGTAATCATACAGTATTTTTTTCTTAATTCTGTTACTGTGGTAAATAATATTAAACTGAACTGAGAAGGGTTCCCTCCTTTATTTCCTAAAATGTTAATGAAAGATTGGCATAATTTTTTCCTCTAATTATGTGTGTGTGAAGGGTTTTAACGGTGAATTTAATCTCTTTGGTAATGGAATAATCAAATCTTCTATTTCCTTTCATCTGCTTTGGTGATTTGCTTTTGGGTCAGGGACAAAACTGAGCAAGAGTTCAGTCTCCAATACTGAGGCTACTATTTTATAAAAGTTTTCTAAGAATATGAAATTGAGTCATTTATTAATTGTCACTAGACACACACGTGTATGTGTACACACAAATTCACCACTTTCTGTATTAGGTATAATGAAAGCAAGAAACCTGTCAAGTCAGAATGTGGAGGGAAGTTAATGATGGACTTCTGGATTATTTCATACACACCATAAAAACAATACAAATACAAAGTGCAGAGTTTAAATCAGGAGATTTATTGTAAACAGGATAACCCTAGGACCCTACCATACTGGTAGTGTCACATGCTCTTTTTCACATCAATTGATCAAAAGACTTTTCTTTAAAAAAGTCTCTGGTGATTAGCGACTTTTTCACAAATTTCACTTGCTGAACACTGAGTAAATAGTATCTGGGTAGTCTGTTATTGCTCATGGACTATACCCTGGGACCCACTTAAATGAATCTATTAGCGACACAACAGGAGCTTGACACCAGAAAATGCTGGAGCACACTAATAGACACCACGTGCAGGTTCATGAAAGACTACATGGATTGCTTTCAGATCTCCTCAGGTGCCTTTCCTTACACAACCGACACGCTTCTAAATTTACCCATTTTTTAAAAAAGAGCTGAAGTTATTCAATGGCATGTTGAAAAGGGAGATTTTTATTTACTTTTACAGTGATGGATTTAAACACTCAGGACTAATTTTAGATTCCTTTTGTATACATTTGCAGTTCAGTTGAAAGGCTGCATAGTTACATGCTGGGCATGGTAGTGCATGCCTAAACCCAGCACTTATGAGGTGAACTGGATGAAGGAGGATCAGGAGTGCAAGGTCATCCTTGGCTGTAGAGGCCATTGCACAAACCAGAAGGAAGTGATGACTCATGCCTTCTGATGAATAAAGGCAGATTTCTTACTAGGAGACTTTCAAAGGTGTGGGTGAAAAGACAGTCACAGCACCACATGGAAAGCAGCCTCCAGAGCTGCCCCGTGTTGAGATTATTGGAAAATGGCAAATGTGAAAAGTCAAGGCTCTAGGGAAGAAGTCCTGGTAAATCAAGTTGTATGGGGCAGGAAAACATCACTTGAAAATGCCATTCTGTACTTTGCCTGAGTTAGTGGACAACAGGAGCACTTGCTGTTACTAATGCCTGTAATGTGGAAACAGTCACAATTTCTCTTGAAGCAAATTTTAATAATAGCAAATATTTTAAAACAGCTGTTAAATCTACAGTAACATTTTCTCCTAAAATAGTATCTTGTGAAAAAAATATTTTTAAAAGTCCACTCCAGTCATCATCTGTATGCTTATATTCATATATTCAAAAAATAACACTTAAGGCAAGATTAGACTGGCAGCAACAGGGATTTTAGAGTCTTACGGAGACTTGGTATTTAAGAATACAACATTTTATTTGTTTATATCTCCAGAGAGGGGGCTTTGTATTTGTTGCCTTTTAAATATCTAAAGGGCAAATGTTTTAGTTCACACACTCATCGCAATTTAAATTTTAGTAAGGTTATGGGTAGCTACAATAGCTGATGTTACAACAGCATGTCTCTCATTCAATACAGCAGCACATATCTGCTGATGGAACACTGCAAACCAACTATGAACAACAAAAATGTCAATGGAATTCAATGAGAAAAAACCCACAGTTATCCTGAGAAATTCCATTTGGGTCAAAATTGATGTAAGGTTAATCTGTATTTATAGCACTGTAAATAAGGGTATTCTAGGGTTTTCCAGCATTTTACTAGGTAGATTAAAAAACAATATTCAAATTTTATAAAAAGATTAAAACCATGCCTTATATAATCAGCAATTTCACTAATAAAAGAAAATGACACTGCTTTGTGTGTCACCTGCCAAATGTAATATTCTCCATTGATTTACATGAAACAATCAAATAGAAAGCAAATTTGAGGATCAGCTTTTTAAATGGTAATACCTTTCTAAATGTTTGATGCCTTTTTGAAAAAAGCTAACATTTACTTTCTTCAGACAAATGACTATTTTACAGAATAAGGAGGAAAGAGCCTATTGGGACATCATTATCTTAAGTAGTTATATAAGGGAATTTCTCTTAGGAACGAAAAGGGGAGAAAATTAAGATATTTAAGAGGCATGTATTTAAAAAATATTCTACACCTATAAGATTTTATAATTTTATTACTTTGGATTTTAACATTTCTACATAATGTCTGATAATTCATTTCTGTCTGTCTGTCTAACAGTGAACCAGAAACCACTCAAGTGGCTGAGCCTGTTCTCTCAGGCCTTGGAAGACACAGAAAAATGTCCGCTGATGCTTCCCAGTGTGGGATCTTCAGAGTTTTGCAGCCATGAAGTTAATGTGTGGTTTCACAAGGGGAAACAGTGGCAAGCCACGTTTGAACTCAGTCATGTTCTGGATCACTTCAGGCTGCAAAGAAACAAAAAGGCTTCTTTCAGTACATCGCACTCAGCAGGATATCATCTTTTTTGGGAGAAACACCATAAAGAGATACTCCTTATTACAACTAGTAGAGTCAGGGAGTCATGGATTAGTTAACAGGCCTATGGCATGTAGGACTCTGGGCCAGATGGAGGACTCTAGCTCTCGCCTGGGCACACAAGGACTGGCTCACCCACCCAGCAGAAGTCCAGTTACACTGCCTGTTTTCTCCTCCTGAAAGTAAATAACAGTCTTTCCAGAGGATTAAATACTGAGGTGCTATGGGAAAGACTAAGAGCTCTCATTCCCATACTTAATGCTGGGAAAGATGTGCCCAGAGATGACTGACTACACAGGGACAATGATCAGACCAGAGGCAAAGCTGGGAGTAGAGGTGCACGTCTGCATCCCTAGCACTTGTGAGGTTGAGGCAGGAGGACCAGGAGTTGAAGGGCAGCTTCAGCTACACAGTGAGCTTGAGGCCAGCTTGGGCTAGGTAAGACCCTTACACAAAACCAAACCTAACAAAACATACAGGGGCAGAGGCTGAGTGACCAGACAGAGAAGACTTAGAGAAGCTCAAACACCTAGTGACCTGAAACCTCCAGGTTTTACGTGTTCTGATAAGTAAAAGTCCTTGGGGAACCCCTAACATTTCTTACTTGTGGCAAGGCAGGTGCTTGTGATAAATTTATATCATTCTGACATGGGAATTCTCCAACAACAGGACCTATGAGAAAATGAGAGGTTTACTACTCATACTTGCAGTAAGAACAAATTCAAAAAAAAAAAAAAAAAGAATCCAAGGCAGACCCAGTTCATTAACAAAACTAAACTAAACCAGGCCCTCATACACTTTTCAGATTGCTTCAAGCTGCTTGCTGCTAAGGACTTGAGTGTGCCCTGCTTTCAATAGAGAGGTGTCCTGCTGCTGATGTTATTGAGTCCATAAAGCCTTGGCCCTAGCAGCTTTAGTACTCAGGTCTGATCTGAATAGACTTGGGCTCTGACCTCCTAGAAGGATGTAGCAAATTCCCAGAAGGCCAGTAAGAGCTGGAGAGGAGGACTGTACAGACAACCCCTTACTCCTTCCCACATGTAGGTGTTTCCTGAAGCCTCTTTTGGAGATGGTGACCAGCTGTATACTCTTGAAAAGCTGTGACCATCACCTGGTACTGGCTCTCTCTTTCACTGCTCCATTTCCCCATCCCCTGTACTTCTGCTTCAATAGAACAGACCCTATCTCAGTTCCTTTTTAAAATCCCCTTACTTCCTGGTACTCTGACAAGACAGCCATCATATGGTTCAACATAAGATTAAAAATAGAATTTTAAAAAAGCCAATATTCAATACTTACAAGAATCCATTTCCCTGGCAAGAACGTGAACGGATACCTTATGTCTCCTCGGTGCGTCCACTGCCAGCATTTCCTGGGCAGCAAGGAAAACAAGATCATTTTTTTGCCCCATCATGGAACTTAACATGAGGCTCTTGCTGATGACTATGAAGAATCAGCTACCACAGACTACATATAGAAAGGCTTTTTTTTTTCTTTCCTCTCACATTATTTTAAGCACTATGAAAGATTCAAGAAAGAAGGTAGACAGACTTATTTTCTCTTTTTGTGATGCTGGAAATTAAACCCAGAAGTTCCTTTATACTAGGCAAGTGCTCCACCACGGAGCTACACCCAGCATTGTCCAGAATTATTCCAGAATTGTAGCGAAGCAACCCAAACCAAGATGATTAAGTGATCAAACTCACAGTTAGCATATGCCTGAGCTGGGCTTAAACACCTGTCTACTCAGATACGATATGCAGGGCTGTACCTAGTGGGGTTATTTGTTGCTGGTGTTATTGGTTTTTTTTTGTTTTTTTTTTTTTTTTTTTTTGCTTTTTTTCAGGGTCTCCCTGCAGCCCGAGCTGTCCTGGAACTCACTATGTAGACCAGGCTGACCTCGAACTCACAAAGATCCACCTGCTTCTGCCTCCCAAGTGCTGGGATCAAAGGCGTGTGCCACCACACCCAGCCTTATTGTTTGTTTTTTTAAGAGAGAGTTTCACTATGTAGCCTCTGGCTGGTCTACAAGTCACTATGGGGATCAGGCTGTCCTGAAAAGCAGAGATACATCTGCCTCTGCCTCTCGAGTGAAGGAATTAAAAGAGTGTACCACATGTTTTACATTTATTATTTGTGCATATGCAGGGTAGGGGGCACATGAATGCTGTGGCATAAAAGGGGAAGTCTTGGAGTTGAAGAGATGGTTCAGCGGTTAAGAACACTGGCTGTTCTTGCAGAGGACCCGGTTCCAGGGGATCTGATTCCCTCTTCTGACCTCCTTGAGCAAGGCACAATACAGATGTAGTTTTCTCCTTGCACCATATAGGTTCAGATGTTAGGCCCTCAGCCTCTATGGCAGATACCTTTACCTGCTGGGCCACATCACTGGCTCCCTAGTGATCTCTAAACGCCTCCCCCCCCTTTCTATTTTAAAGACATAGTGTTGCATAGGGCTGGAGAGATGGCTCAGCAGTTAAGAATATTTGCTACTTTTGCAAAGGACCTGGGTTTGGTTCCTAGCATCCACATGGGGTGGTTTACAACCACTAAAAGAAAAAAAGGCAGTCTTGCTATGCAGCCCAGTCAAACCTTGAACTTGATATCCTCCTCTCTCCACCTCCCATGTGCTAAGATTACAGGCCCAAGCCATCAGATCTGGCTCCTCTAGTGATCTCTAGTATCTTAGAGAAAATGGTCTGTCTTTACTCAGAACAATCACAATCATTGTTCCTCTAAGAACTTTCTCAAATTCTGTACCAGGGTTCTGCTAGTAAGCTGTGGTTCCTCATCTATCAAGAGACAGGAAACTAATACTTACTGAGTACTGCCTTGTATCAGGCAATCTCCTGTAGGAGGTACTTTATTCTCTGTAGCTAATAATCATGATGATGGTTATTCAGTGCTGTAGACTCTCTGTATGTAGCCCTGACTAGCCTAGAACTCACTATGTAGACCAGGCTGGCCTCGAACTCACAAAGATCTGCCTGCCTCTGCTTCCAAGGTGTGGGGGATCAAAAGGGCACCACAAGGCCTCCTAATATTCTCATTTTAAATCTAAGAGTGAGTCAGTTTTGTAATTACCATTTTCAAAAACTCAATAATTAGGTATTACTTGTAATTTTAAATAAATAACAAGAGTTGTAGAGAAAAAAAATCAGTAACACTTCATTCTTTCTGGAGACATTACAGTCATCTTTTTTGAACAGGCATAACTAGTATGGCATGACTGACTCAGAAACCAGAGACAGCTGACTATGATCTCAACTGCAGACAACTGAGAACAAATACTTGTTCTCACAAAGTCAAAGTCTCCTGGAGGTAAATAAACAAAACTAAAATTTATTTTGTAACATCCAGAAGGGAAATGCATTCTGATTTAAAGTGTCAAAACCTGGGACTGGAGAGATGGCTCAGTGGTTAGGAGTACTGACTGCTCTTGCAGAGGACCCGGGTTTGATTCCCAGCACCCACATGGTGGCTATAAACCATCCTTAACTCCAGTTCCAGGGGAATCCAAAGCCCTCTTCTGACTCCCATGGCATTAGGCATTGCATGACACAGGTATACTCACATATATGCAGGCAATACGCTCATATACATTAGAAAAAAAAAGTGTCGAAACCCCCAGACTATTTAATAAATGCTACAAAGTGGCACTCACACATCAGTGACTTCAAAGCTTAAGTTTGCTGAAGTCACAGATCTACTAGTTGGGGGAGGGCTGAGTTCTGGATCCATATTCAGAGGCCCTATACCTTCTTGCTGCTGTCCCACAGATTAATGAACCTCAGAAGTTGAGATCAGGAGTGAGGTTGGCAGACCTAAGAGAACACCTCAGACAACTAACCAGCCTGACAGTGAGCAAGTGTCTGATACCTGACTCTGCTCCTCACCACCTGATCATAGCTTTCCAAGTAAACAAGGGCCACTTGGTGTTAAATTTCAGGTCAAATTTATATATATATATATA